AATTGCGAACGAAATGATCTGAAAAATTATAGAAGAAAAATGTTCATAATTTTACTGAGAAATTAGTAGTTCTTAAGAGGAAATTTGGCAACGCCTAAAGGGTCTCACGGCGTTCTTCCTTAGCACGGTAGAAATGTGGTTCCATTGGGTTTTTCGGGAAATTTTCTTCTTGAAGAACTTTAAAATTTAAAATGTGACGAACTAAACATACAAATTTGCAGTTTTAGTCAAAAATTTCATGTCCGACCTCTCTAATCGACTTGGTCCACTGTCTGCCGCCACGCGAGGTAAACAGTCTCACCCAATGTTGCCTAATTTCATAGGATATTATGTCGGTTTTACATGGAGTCTAACGGACTGTGCGATAAACCGGCATCATGCATGTATCAACTACTCGATATGCCGTCTGATTCATTTTTGGGGTTCTGCAGAAATCGCCTCTCTAAACAGCTCATTTTCACAATGAATCATTTCAAAGCCTTATTTGCCTTTTGATCTCTGGCCTTGCTCATAACAGCAACAGGTTCAAACCTGCACCTGAACCACTTGCGCGTTTTATTTATGAGGCTGCCTTTGATTAAGAATCAGGGTCTTAGTAGGGTACCTTTGAGTATGGTCAGGGTCACTGAGTCCCATGGAGAGGCGTATGGCCCAAAAATGGCGCCGCTTTTTTTTGGTTTCTGATATGAGCGAGGGATAAAAAAACTGATAAAAAAAATTCGTGCGTGGGACCCGAAGTTGAGATCATATGGATCTCTGAAGTTTTCGGATCACGCATCAAAAAAGTTGAGGTCCAGCCGCTGAAGTTCGGGTCAGACATCTGAAGTACTTCGATATATACAGAAGGGTTTGGGTCACACATCTGAAGTACTCCGGTACATACCGAAGTGCCTCGATGTCTGACCCGAACTTCGCAGCTCGACCTCAAGTTTCCGGATGCGTGATCAGAAAACTTCAGAGATCCATATGACCTCAACTTCGGGTCCCATGCACGAGGTTTTCTTCTCCGTGTGCCAACTGGGGTCTGGGCCGTATCGGCCAGAGGGTGACGGTGTGCCCTACACTGAAAAAAAATTCTCGGCGTTTTTACCAAGATCAGTTGGTACCTTTACCATCTCACTTTTTTTACCAATTATTGGTAATTTTACCAGGACAATCTAGTAAGCTTACCTAAAAACCGGTATTTTTACCGTTTCTTCAGGTAAGAATACCACTTTTATTGGTAATCAATCCCCGGTAACTTTGCCATTTTATCTCGGTAATTCTACCACAGTCGATAAAAAATATAGGCGTTTTTTCCCAAGGTCCAGTAAAATTACCGAGATTTCTCGTTAAAATTACCGATTCCATAAACGGTAATTTTACCCAGAAAAACTGGCATCAAATAGAACCCTGAATTCTTGGTAATTTTACCCTTTTCTCAGTAAATACACCGAGATTTTTTTTCAGTGCATAGTTTTCCACACGGCTCCGAACTTTTGAGTCACCCAGTAGGAAGTGCGCATGTATCCAGCCCATAGATCTCATTGTTTGCATGCGCCTGAGCCTCGGGGCTGGGGGGCGGGGGGTTAACGCCGAGTTATAATGTGTGTGTTTTTATTTCTTCGGCCGGTCTTCGTTTTGGTTTCATTAGCTTGAAATATCCCATTAGTGCCGTTGCTTCGCCTTCCTATCCGTCCGGCCAAGAACACCCACGGCCCACGTCCTGGTGCACGGCGAATTCGTCACACTTCTCTGTACCCGCCGCCGCGCAGGGCCGCTCATCCATTGCGGTGCACCGCAACCCCCCTATCCCCCCTCCCCCGACCCGCGTGGCCGGCATGATGCGTCGCTTTTACACCTCCCGGGCGGCCAAGTCCCGCGCCTGGACTCTTGGATCCATATTGAACGACTCCGATCATCGACAAAATGGACGTCTTTAAATGAAAAGGGACTATATCCATTCTGCCGTGCTAAGGAAGAACGTCGTATGAACCCTCGTGCGATACCAAACTTATTTTGGTAAAGTACGAATTTTCAGAAAAACTTATGAAAATGTTCCTCTCAATTTTTCAGACAATTTTCTTTGCAATGTGATCTAAATTATTAGATGATTGCACACTGAAAAAAACTCCGGCCGTGGGAGCCGCAATTACGGGCTGTATAGACATACCGTCCTTCCGGGCTCAAAGGCCGAAAATTCCGGCTGCTGGAGGCGTAGCTTTGATTGCTCCGGGTTCAGAGACCGAAGCTACGGCTCCAGCAGCCGGACTTTTTGGCCTTTGAGCCCGAAACGGACGGTATGTCTCTATAGCCCGTAATTGCGGCTCCCACGGCCGGAGTTTTTTTTTTTTTTCAGTGCAGATAAACATATTCATTATTAGTCCCAAAAATTAACATTTGAAGAGGGAAAATTTGGCAACTCTCGGATGTTCATACGGCGTGTTTCCTTAGCGCGGCAGCATTCGGATATTAGCCCTAAGCTACTCCACGAGAATACAATAATCATGTATAACAATGGGCTGATTACATAGAGTACATAGAGTCATAATATAATTTAAAAAGCTGGGGTTATGTTCTAGTGGACGAGTTGCAAGCCCGGTGTGCGCCGAGATTAGGCCACCTTTTTGATATATTTTCTATTCAAAATTGCGATGTATAATACGTGATAAATCATATGAATATCACAGTAAAAATATGTATTCCATGAAGTTTGAAGAAAAATTGAATAAGAACTTGATACTTGTGATGTCACTATTTCAACGCAGAGGGCCTATATTGTTCATATCTCTAATATTAAGGTGGAATATGCACGGTTTCTCACTCAAAAGCTCAGGGCAAAATTTTGTCTTCCACTTTCATTTTTGACTGATAATCCAAAAATTCCTGCGATATTATTCTAATCTAATACCTCCTTTCATATTGTGCCATATCTTCCGCCTTCATTTTAGAGGGATAGGCCAAAAACGCTTCCTTGCGTTAGTATAGTTGTATCTTTTGAGATTGAACCATGCGGGAAGTCGAACGCATGCAGTATAGTCGAAGGATCAAGATGCTGAAGGTCCCATCGTTGCCTGTAATGACATATACCTAACGTACTTGAAGCAGTTAATAATATGATCCTTTTTTAAAAATGTTTTCATACTAAATTAGATACAAAAATAGTGTCACTGTAAATAAATAAGTGCGTTTCCTCTGGTTTTTATGTAGTCTTGAAACAAAGCAATTTATAGCGGAATTTTGCGACTAAGCGCATTTAACTTGAATGCCCTGTGAAATGCTCAAGATTCTCTCGGTAAACAAACTGAAAGAAGAGAATGCTGCCTTAACATTCTGGATGTAAAAAAGTGTGCGACAACTTACGGAACGCTGAGTTAACCGTCAGTTACCACAACAATTTCAAGATGTAAAGCTAACTGCAGTGGCGGTTAACTCAAAGTTTTGTGGGTTGGCGCACACTTTCTCACATCCAGAATGTTAAGTCAGCATTCTTTTTTTTTTCGGTGAATGCAATTTCCGTGGGGAAAATTGATAACATTGAAATGTTGTAACGTCCTTTCGTCACGTGAGTTTCGTGAGGGTAACAACGCTGTGAGACAAGTTTTATCTCAATTTAAGAGGTAATATGCCCTAGATTCTCTCAGTAAAAATTCGATTTTCGTGGGGGAAAATTCGTAAAATTGAAATGCGGTCACGTTCTTCCAGTTACTATAGCGATGTCAATATGTATAGCTAACTACTGTGGTGGTTAAATCAGCTTTTTGTGAGTTGTCACACACTTTTTTACATCCAGAATGTTAAGTCAGCACCCTTTTTTTCGGTGAATGCAATTTGCGTGGGGAAAATTGATAACATTCACGGGGAAAAAAAGGCGGGTAGATATCACCATACTATGGTTAAAAAACGGCACAACTAGACAGTATGGTAACTTCCACCAAATTATCACAATAAGGAAAAATCTTGTTACTTTCCCAATAATTTTGATGGAAGTTACCATTCTCTCTGGTCGTGCCGTTTGTTAACCAGAATATGGTAAATTTTACCTAACTGCACTACCTAAAGTAACCGCGCATTTCAACACGGAAAGAAAAATTACGAAAAATTTACCATATTCTGGTTAAGAAACGGCACAACCAGACAGTATGGTAACTTCCACCAAATTCTCACAAAGGGAAAATCTTGTTACTTTCACAATAATTTTGATGGAAGTTACCATACTCTCTGGCCGTGCCGTTTATTAACCAGAATATGGTAAATTTTACCTAATTTTTCTTTCCGTGTTGAAATGCGATTACGTTCTTTCATCGCGTGAGTTTCGTGGACGTTGTGAGACACCACTGAAAATTCTCGGCGTTTTTACCACGGTCCGTTGGTACCTTTACCATCTCACTTTTTTTACCGATTATTGGTAAATTTACCAAGACAGACTGGTAAGCTTGCCTAAAAACCGGTATTTTTACTGTTTTTTTCAGGTGAGAATACCACTTTTATTGGTAATCAATTCCCGGTAACTTTGCAATTTTATTTCGGTAATTCTACCACAGTCGATAAAAAATATTGGCGTTTTTACGAAGGTCCAGTAAAATTACCGAGAAAGTTCAATAATTTTACCGAGATTTCTTGGTAAAATTACCAATTCCATAAATGGTAATTTTACCAAGAAACAACTGGGATCAAATAGAACCCTGAATTCCTGGTAATTTTACCCTTTTCTTAGTAAATACACCGAGATATTATTTTCAGTGTGTTCTATCTCAATTTACGAAGCACCCTGTAGGAGACTTGGAGTCTCAATACATAAGCGCAGCGTATCGGACTGCGTCGCGGTGGCAGGACATTCATGAATGAGTTTATGGTCCGGGGGGCGGCTCCTCCGGCGGGGGCGGGGGCGGGTGCCCAGGTGAGGAGGCCCCGCCCACGGGCAGCCCCCGCCCCCGGTGGTGGGGGCCGGCGCGCGGGGTGCGGCGCGGGCCCGCGCGGCCCGGCCTCGCGCCCGCTCCGGCAGATGATATCGGAATCGGTGGTGCTCGGATGTCGGATGTGATATAGTGATGGTGTGATGTGGTCAAGCGCGCCGCTGGTGCTCCTTGCAGTTTTCGCGGCCCTCCAAGCCACCCACGCCGGCCAAGCCGGGGACGTCCACGGAAAAAACAACAACAATAACAACAAGCCCGGTCGAGGACGCGGTCGAGGCAGCAATTGGTGGTGAGTACCCCGAAAAATTACCTTTTTATCCCGCTCAGAACCGTCAATTTCATCCCTTTGTCCTGTCACTGGCATGCCGTCATTGTTTTGAGGAGTATTTTGACCATTTATTTTAGGGCTTTCTTGTCGTTCTTGCTCAGCAATTGGTGGTGAGTACCCCCGAAAAATTACCTTTTTATCTCGCCCAGAATCGTCAATTTCATCCCTTTATCCTGTCACTGGCATGTCGTCATTGTTTTGTGAAGTATTTTGACCATTTATTTTAGGGCTTTCTTGTCGTTCTTGCTCAGCAATTGGTGATGAGTACCCCGAAAAATTACCTTTTTACCCCGCTCAGAATCGTCAATTTCATCCCTGTATCCTGTCACTGGCATGTCGTCATTGCTTTGTGCAGTATTTTGACCATTTATTTTAGGGCTGTCGAGGCAGCAATTGGTGGTGAGTACGCCGAAAAATTACCTTTTTATCTCGCTCAGAATCGTCGATTTCATCCCTTCATCCTGTCACTGGCATGTCGTCATTGTTTCGTGAAGTATTTCGACCATTTATTTTAGGGTTTTCTTGTCGTTCTTGCTCAATTAAATCCTAAACTATGCGTAATCTAGGGTGTTTTCTGGTTGATCCTTTTTTTCTTGCTCAGAACCGTCAATTTCATCCCTTGTGCTTGTCGCTGGCATGTCGTCATTGTTTTTTCAAGTTTTTCGACTGTTTACTTAAGAGCTTTTTTGTCGTTCTTAATCAATGGTATTCTCAACTATACGTAATCTAGGGGATTTGCTGGTTGATTTTCCCTTTTGACGATGTGCGTGGTAGCGGCAGCGAGCCTAGAACCAGAATTTCATCCCTTATTCCTATCGCCGGCATGTCGTCATTGTTTCGTGAAGTTTTTCGACTCTTTAATTAAAATTAGGGGCTTTCTTGTCAATCTTGCTCAATGAAATTCTCAGTAATCTAGGATGTTTCCTGGTTGATTTTACTTTTTAACGATGTGCGGGCTAGCGGCAGCGATCGGTGTCAAGTTCCCAAATAGTTCTCAAAACAGCTAGTATAATTCATCCGTTTTTCCTGTCGTCATTGTTTTGTAAAGTTTTTCGACTGTTTATTAAAGAGCTTTTTTGTCGTCCTTGTCAATAGAATCTTCAACAGTAGGGTTTTTTCTGGTTGAGTTTATTTTTTAACGATGTGCGTAGTAGCGGCAGCGATTGATAGCGAGTCCCCAAATAGTTTCTGTATCTCACATAAAACAGTAAATTTCATCCCTTTTTCGTATCGTCGTCGTTTTGTGAAGTTTTTTAACCATGTATTTAAGGGTTTTCTCGTCGTTCTTTCTCTGAGACCCTTACGCAGAAACTAGGGTTGTTTGTGGTTGATTTTACTCTTTTAATGATGTGCGTAGTATTGGAAGGGATTTTCTTGCCCTAAACAGTTAATTTCACTCATTTCTCCTGTAGCCGGCATGACGTATATGTTTTAAGAAGTTTTTTTACCACTTTTTGACGGTTCTCTAGTCGTTTTCTCAATGAGTCCCCGCAAGCTATCCATAATAATTGGTATATGATAGTTACGCGAAAAAATGAGCCTATTTTACTTCTTAGCGATGTTCGGGCTCGTGGAAGCGATTTGTTGTGAATCTCTTGAAAAAAATACTTACTCCTTGCCTAAGACGGTCAATTTCATGCCTTGCCGCATTTAGTCTTTGTTTTTGAAAGCTTTTCGCTGATTTATTTAAGATTTTCTTGTTTTTCCCCGTATGAGAGCCCAAACTACATGTAATCTTTGGTTTTCGGTAGTCAGCGATTGGACGATGGTCACGATAACGATTGTTAGTCCGTCCCCTAAGAAAAGTATTTTCTTCTTGCATAACATTGTGAATTTCATCCCCTCTTTATGTTTACTGTGATGCCGTCATTTTTGGTAAAGTTTTTCAACTATTTAAGTACTGACGCGGTTTTCTAATCGTCCTCTTAGAACTTTGATAGGTACTCAAAATGACACAGTATCTGCATTTCACGCCAAATAAACTTAATTATTTAGATACTTTCTCTAATTTTCCCCCTATTATTTTTGCTAATATCTGGCGCTACGAAGACTTCTTGAAAGTCAGTTACCTCCTGTGACAACCCGCATTCCTAGACATTCGTTCAAATCACTTATATTCATCCCTTCCTAGATTAACGTCGACAAATATCAACCTTCACTCCTATTTCCAACCCCTCTCTCGTTCATTAAAGGTTGCTTTGAGTATCAGTTTCGTTTCCTGTCAAAAACTCCTCTGCAATAACGACCCTAATAGGTTCTTCTCTTGACCAATATTAACTAGCTGAAAACCAAATCTCTCATGTTTTGATACGAAAAGGATTAGAATAAGGTGTCATGAAACATTCATGAGCACAATATTACGCGTAATGAATTGATAATTTAATTGCGAAACTTGCGATATGCCTTTTACTGTCTTCACAATATTCCCAGCGGTATTCTTCGATTTAAATGTGTGGGAGAGAAGAGAGTCTGAGCACAAATTAAAATATTTTTTTTTCCGTTTATCATCCTAAAAGGGATCATACAAATAAATTGGCTTCTGTCATACTGTTCTGTAGTTTGGAAATGTGTCATTATAAATGACTCATTCCCTGAAATTCATTCCTGCATATTTATTGCGGTAATCGACTGATCGCGTTTAATGATGGCGTTCACGTGAATTCCTGCGAAATAGCCTTTTTTCATCCAAAATGATTCATCAATTCACTTTTACTGAACGCAATTGTCGTAGAAAGTGTTTTTATAAAAGCAATTTGATTGAAATTACTTAATTTTTTCTCGGGGCATGATATAGGATAATTGATTTATTTAGTTTAATTAGTTGTCCGCTAGTTTTTTCGTTGATCTCCTGTAGTAAAAAGTATCAAAGTAATCAGTTAATGTACAAAATTCAACGAGAGTTTCAAATCATGCCTCTCGTAGATAAACTTGGACAAATTTACCCAACTTTTTGGGATTTTCGTAAAGATTTAATGGATTAAAATTTTAACGATGACACCTTCGACACTCAGCCCTCATCTAAAATTATACGAAGATTTTTTTCTCTGTGTTAATGACCACCGGTAATTTTTTATGAGGTTATCTTTTTAATGACACCCTTTGAAATGAAGCCTGTCTAACGATGCAAAGACAATATTTGCCTATTCTACATTCGAATAAAAAATAAATAAATTACAAAATAAATGACTGTGTCCGCTCACAATGTCTCAATTTTTTTTTCCTTTGAGAACTTTGAGTCCTGAAAAATAAAAACACGCCAAAAAAATCAATGAAATCGAAAAACTGTGACTGACAATCCTTTGCATCTGTCATATCATTTAACTTTTGACGGTTTTAATTTTCCTCTTTTGTCCATAAAATTTACGCTTACGGAGGAAATTCAGAACAGGGGAAACTGAAAATAGTGCGATGAACTCAAATTTTATTATTTTGTTTAATCCTCATCGCTCAGCACATATCATTTTACTTTTTGAGGAAACTTGTATGGCTCTCTTTGATTCATTTTCAATTGACTGAATGGAAAAAAAGAGAAAATCCAGAATGGCAACGAGAGAAAATACCGCGAATTAAAGTTACACAAAAGTAAAAGAAAGGCTACGGTTACGCAAAATTATTGAAATTTCAACGAGGAACGATACACAATTTCTTTTTCAACCCGAATACCGTCAGCAATAAAATTCGTGCATGCTAAGTTTACATGAATCCGATCTCATACCACAATTGTTTAGAATGAGACTTTTTCATGCACATTTTAAATCTGTTACATTTGCAACCATTTCTCAGACCATCTGAAAATGTGTGCTTTTACCTCGGCAGTTATGAAAGAATTCCTGACTGAGTAAAAACAAAAGTGGCGTATTGTGCCGAATTCTCGATTACCGTAAAATTGCATCAAGAAATGTCTGAAGCAAGACCACCTTTCCGTAATTTTCCGTATCTACATGATATTCTCTCATTAGTTTCAGCTGCGATTCCAAAATATTGAGAAATTTGCCTGTTTAAATTTACCTCCTTTTATTGAGAGCTTTGATCGTCTGTCTATTCATCATCACTCATGAATGACTTGTCACGTGTTGTACAGACAATGAAACTGCAAAAACGCGTAACTTGCTTTGCGTCACTGCAGATTTCCTGCCATACCTTATTTTTGAAATGGGGAAATACTCACAATTCGTATTTTAATAACTTCCGTAATTCTTTGTCTCTGTGTGCGAAGAATGTCCTGTGAAAATTTCAAACAATAGCGTGGGTTTGTTCTCTTTTGATAAAATAAATTGGGAGCGGAAATTTTGAAACACCGCGAACCAGTTACGAATTTTTGCAATTTCACAGTCGATATGCATCACACTACCGATCATTCGACAACTGCCAAAACTTTATGAATAAACCAACAAAAGCAATTTTAAAATATTTTTAACTTCTACTTTTCATTCGATCTTAAATTCTATTACCGCGGTCTGATCATTGAAATGATACACAAATAAACAAAAGGAAATGCAGCGATCCTATCGGTCAAAATGTGTGGTAGCTGTAGCTATAGACTAAGGGGGAAAACAATGGACTGACTATAGGGCCTATCCATACATGTTTTGGTTTTAAGGGATCTATTTTAGTCTGCAGTAATCTGTTCGATTTCGAAATCGTCGCTTACTTTCTTACCTCCGCGTTTAAGTCTCTTTGGACGTGCATAACGCAGCCACTGAGGCAAGTGGTATTTGCAATCTATACGTGTAATGGAGAATTTGCAAGGGTCTGAAATTTGATGAATTTCCTGTTTAAGTGGAATCCTCTGAGTGAACTGAACACGAAGATACCCTTGATTCATAAATTGAGCAACTATTAGAGGAGATATAACAAAATAACCGATTCTGCTAAAATACATGTGTTTAAATGGGAAATGCCGCCAGATGACGTCACAAGGCGGCGCATTTTCTCACTTTTAAATCAATTTTTCTCCAATT